CCCAAACCCCATTATCCCAAACACCTCAATCCTGGCATCCCAAACACCTCAATCCTGGCATCCCAAACACCCCCATCCCGGCATCCCAAACACCCCAATCCTGGCATTCCAAACACCCAAATCCCATCTCCCAAGCACAAAATCCCAGCATCCCAAACCCCATTATCCCAAACATTCCAATCCCGGCATCCCAAACACCCCTATCCCGGCATCCCAAACACCCCCATCGCAGCATCCCAAACACCCCAATCCTGGCATCCCAAATGCCCAAATCCTAACTCCCAAGTACAAAATCCCAGCATCCCAAACCCCATTATCCCAAACACTCCAATCCCAGCATCCCAAACACCCCCATCCCAGCATTCCCAAACACCCAAATCCTGGCATCCCAAATGTCCAAATCCTAGCTCCCAAGCACAAAATCCCAGCATCCCAAACACCGCAATCCTGGTATCCCAAACACCCCCATCCCAGCATCCCAAACACCCAAATCCCAGCATCCCACCCCCTCCCCTTGGATACAGCCCACCCCATCCCACTCCCTGCCAACCCCCAGCATCCCACAGGGGGCCAATTCCTCCAAATCCTTGCTCCCGATCCCGGAAAAACCCCCTCACCCTTGGGACCTGGAGCCGTGCCATCCATGGGAATCACTGCTTCGGGCTGGGAAGAGCAGCCACACGTCCCTTGGGATGAGGCTGCTCCACATGGAGACCAGGATGTGCCACCACTCACGGCTTCCCGTGGGATCCTGGAGCATCCTTGGGGCTGGCGGACGCACCGAGTTTTCCCGGCTGCGGGCGCTCATCCCGTGGGAACGATCCCGGGGGGTGCCACCTCCTCATTCCCGGGGGCGGGAGCCGCCATGGGAATGTCCCTGGGTGTCACGTCGTAGCCCTGCCGTGGGCACCTGTGGAAGGGAAGAGGAGCATCCCCGGCATTCCAAGGCCTTTCCTCGGCTTTCAGGGAAGCGTGGAGGCCGAGGAAAACTCATCCCTGGGATGGGAAGACCTGGTGGGGTTGGGAATACTTACGTTTTCCTTCTCCAGCAGCAGCAGCAGGAGGCCACGATTCCGGCGACCAGGAGCGCCGGGAACCCTGTGGAAAAGCCACAGGGATGGATGAGCATCTTCCAGCTCATGGATGAGGGCACGGCCCGGCTCCAAACGAAACAGCTCCACAAAGAGCTCCATAAAAACCTTGGATGCGGTCCCAAGGTGCCCTCCCCACCCTGGCAGGGATAAAACTGGGAATTCTCCTTTCCAGGGAGAAGTTTGGGTGCTGCCTCCTTCCCACCTCGGTGACATTCCCATGGAATAAAAGCTCCCACAGCCCCGAGTGCTTTGGAGCTTTAAAAATATGGAAAATGAGCCCCCACTTCCCAAAACAAGCTCGTCTTACCGATGGAATAGGCCAAGGTCTGGCTGGAAGCTGGAAAAGAAGGGAGAAAGCTTTTTTTTTTAGCTGGAAAAGTCGGGATAGTGGGAAGAGCATTGCTAAGGAGTTTTGGGGAGAAGGGAAAAAAAAATCCACTGGGAAAAGCAAAAGAGCTTTTCCCGGATGGAATTATCCCTGGGGGAGGGGTGTTATATTCCCATGGGAAGCATCCCAACCTGTGCCATTGTCCGAGGGGGGCAGCGGGGTTGTTTCCGGGGGCCTGGATGTCTCCGGGGGTGTCCCGTCAGCTCCAGGCTTTCCCGCCGGAGAAGGGCTGGAAGTGGGGCTGGTTCCTGCAGGGAAAAGGGCGTAAAATCCCATTTGAATTCCCTTCCCAATTCCAAAATGGAAAAGGCGGCTTTGCGGCGCCGGCACGACGCCCCAAATCCAGCAGCCCCCAAAATGGTGTCGTTTCATGGGATTTAAAGGGTTTCTCCCCGAAAATCCCGGAATTTTTGAGTTGCTCACCCCTCCGGGTGGTGCTCTCCGTGCGCAGCTCCGTCGGGATCGCAGGGACGGGGGTTTGTGGAGGAGGAGCCGCCGGGTCTCCTGTGGGAAAACACCACCGGAAATCAGGGAATAAACCCTCCAACCCCGGTTTGTTGGGATGGGAAAGGGACATCATCCAATATGAGGGACCGGGGGGTCACTCCACAAAAATATCCCTCAGTTATCCAAACTTTTAACTGTTTTTTGGGAAGTAGTGTTGATTGATCTGTCAGTTCATTAATTAATATTCCATCCTCTGTTGGCTATTAATTCTCTAATTAATTCTAATTAATTAATTCCAATTAATCCCCGTTTTCAGTCCTTTTACCATCTTTTTTTTTTCCCCAGATGGATCTTTTTTCCATCTTTTTTTTCCCTCCGGCTCCGGCGAGCCCTTAAGCTTCGGATTTGCTTTTCCAACCCCCGGAGCGCATCCCATCATCCATTACTCATCCCGAGGATTAATTCTCCTCCCAAAACGCTGAACGGGGAATACAACCCCTCCCCGCATCCCTCGGCAGTGAAATTCCCACTTCCCACTGCCTGATTCCCACAGGGAGCTCACGGATGCACTGGAGCGTGGGGTCGGTCCAGCCGGGCCGGGCGGATCCATCCCGGAGGACGCACTGGATGAGGTTGGAAGTGCCGGCTTTCCGCTTGTATCCCGGGTCGCAGGAGTAGCGCAGCAGGGAGTGGAGCCCCGTGTTGTTCCCCACCTCGATGTGGGCGTTGGCCACGGCCTTGGGGCGGCTGCATCGCGCTGGAGAGGGATGGAAAACGCATGGAATCACAACCGGGACGCCGGGAAACCGCCGGGAACGTCCCCGGAAGTGTCCGAGGCCAGGCTGGAGCAAGCTGGGATAGCGGAAGGTATCCCTGCCCACGGCTGGAGCTGGATGGGATTTATGGTCCCTTCCAACCCAAACCATCCCGTGATTCCAGGAAATCCTGGCTAGGAGTGGATTTAGGGACTGGATGCTGCCCTGGAGCTGGGAGAGCCTCATCCGGCCTCCAGAAATAATCCGGGATGGCTGTGTCTGTGCACAGGAATTAGAAAGGGAAAACTATCCCTGTCATCCTTGTGGTCACCTGGAGCAGCTCTTCCAGGGAATGGAGAAAGGGAAGACTCGATTTCCAGCATCTCTGTGGTCACTTGGAGCATCTCCAGGGAATGGGAAAGGGAAAACTTGATTTTTGGAATCTCTGTGGTCTCTTGGAGCAGCTCCTCCAAGGACTGGGAAAGGGAAAACTTGATTTCCAGAATCCTTGTGGTCACTTGAAGCATCTCCAGGGAATGGAGAAAGGGAAAACTCTATTTTTGGAATCTTTGTGGTCACTTGGA